GTGGGGGGGGGGGGAATTTAGCGTAGGGGGTCAAAATTATAGCGTAGGGGGCCCCTACGCTATTTCGCCCTAGCTAGAACCCTGTAACACTTGTCTCATGCATTGTTGTTTATCACTAATATCAGGTGATGCGGTTCGCTCGGTTCTCTCCAGTCTTCCCTCTGGCAGACCTGACCGGATTCCGCCCCCCTCCCGACCTCTACCGACAGTTTGTGGCCTGGACGGAGCTGGTCGCCGCGCCAATACTCGTTTTCTTCGGCGGAACCCTCGGAACGGTCGCAAACGTGATCCTTTTTGGGGTGATGCTCGGAGGTGTCTCTACGCACATGACCTTAGGTGACCCAGTAGCGCTGTACGCACAGGAACTGGGGTTGTTGGTTGTTCTCGGGTGCCTGTTTGTTCTACGGAGGGTCGAGGCTTCCAAAGAAGCGAAAGAGAAGGAACAGTGAGAGTGACTATCACTTCTGCCAGATATATACAAGTCTTCCTGTGGTAACATTGGGCTTTGGCAACCAACCTTCAACAAAGCAGTCAGAGAGAGCAGTCTTCACCACATCTAGCAAACTGGAACTTCTGTGCACTAAGACAAGCCAAAAGCAATTATACTTCACTCCCTTGGGGTGAAGATACATGAAAAAGCTATAGCTAGTATCTAGCTTTACTTTGTTGGGTTCTGATTTCTGTGATGCTCGGAGGAGTGTCCACGCACATGACCCTAGGTGACCCGGTAGCGCTGTATGCACAGGAACTGGGTTTGCTGGTCGTTCTTGGATGTCTGTTTGTTCTACGGAGGGTCGAGGCTTCCAAAGAAGCTAAAGAGAAGGAACAGTGATATCTGCTAGATAGTAACTGACTTTTGAAATAAAGACTATAACCAGCAACATTAGCCAGTCTGTACACTTGTCAAACTCTGCCTGCTTCAGAAATGGACTGTGAACATCTGACTTTGCTGGTTGTCCTCAAGAGAACACCAGTTGCAACGGAAATTATCCCATAGTATAACATGTACAGTAACATGCATGAATAGATGCACCATTTTGTACGGCAAACACTGTAAAGTTACAACTAAAGAGACACTTTGAATGATCTATTTATGACAGTGCTGTGCCAAAATTTTCAGCAGAAGTCCATAGCTAATGTTGATATCAGAAAATCTTTGCCAAACAATTGAAAACAAATATTACATATACTGTACCTTTAAATCAGTGCTAAAAGTCTCCACACTGTTCAACATCATACTATCTGGTGAGAGTAGTTTATATTGAAGGGAGTATTGTACTAGCATCATTGTCATGAGGCTAGAATACTTCACCAGAAGACTTTGCTCATGTACTATGTAGTGGAATAGTTTATCGATTTGTGTTTAATTACTAATGGTAATCATTAGATGGTAGCTAAGTCAAAAGATGAATAACAATACTAGTACTTAGATGTGTAATTTAGTTTAACTTATAAGGAACCTTATGTATTAGTTAAGCATTGTACTAATTCTACTAATGAAATGTTGCAATCAATAACAAAACTAAAGACATATTTTTACTGAAATAAATTTTTCTAACCATAATTGTATGTCTCTTTTTTCATTACCCTTGCAAAGAATGCTTTGTTTTTAGTTTCTGGGTGTCAACTTGTATATAGTCTGGTGGCTAAGTGACCCTGCCTCTGGACCAAGAGGTTGGGAGTTCGAATCCCGGGTGTTGTCGCTCACCTGACATGCACACTACTGTAAAGGGTCAGAGTGCCTATTTTCTATATGGTAAAAAAATTACAGCAGTATTCATCACAACCAATCTGTTAGATCAAATATTTTGGCTTTTAATAAGTTTTATTTTTGTGCACAGTGTCAACAGGTGCCTTCTCTATTATGTACAAATCCTTGCTCTTGTCAGCACTATTGGAGAAAAATTACCGGTACACCTAGTATACTTTACTTAGTAACAACAATGCTATACAGAAGCTACTTAGCCAGGAATTGTAGCGGGACACGAGGGCTACAAAAATAGGCCATCTGAGTGTACCTTGATGTTAACTTGTGATGTGACGTAATTTTGATATGTTCTGTTGTAGCTATACAGTTACAGAATAGGTGTGTCAAAAATGTAAGTTGCCAACTACAGTAGTACTGGTTTGGTAGATCAGAGAATGTTTACAATTTGATTTGTCATGGAAGACATCAGTTTTTTGGGTGCACCTCTTTTTCAATACGTTGGCAGAACATACTGCGCCTGTGCAAAACGTGTCATGTATTGTGAATACATGTAAGGTTGCATTCGCGTATTTAATGATGACATTGCATCTATAGTTTTCAAATCTGCAATTCTGATGCAATGTTGACCAAACAGAAAATGTGAAAAATCTGGGTTTCGTGCAGGTGCAGTACGTTCTGCTAACATGCTGTCACTACCTAATAAAGGATCATCATCAGAATTCTGCCATGCAGAAATATGCCTATCAAACTGGTCGAGAAAGGTGATATAATTTGGCAACAAACAGATAGAGTTAGATTTATCTGCCTTAAAATTTCTTTGACACTTGCAAGTAAAGCATACATTAATTTATTTTACACATCATTTGGTGGCAGAGAGGCACAGTGAAAGCTGAGAAAGGTAAAACCACAACATTTCAAGATTAACAGTAAACACATGCATGTACACATGCGACAGGGCACACAAGGTACCGTAACATGTTCCTGTAGTATACTGGAGTTTTCTTACATAACCAAGTTCTTCTTCCATGACAACATTTAGTAGTCATATTTGGATGAGGTGAGAAGAATTTGGCTATGCTGTAATTGTGTAGTGCAGGTAGACTTGGTAGAACAGTTCACATGACAGAAAGTCCAGATTTTGATAGTTTTTTACATGTTTAAAAAGTTTTCTGTTGTTTTTTCTGGACAAGCTCAGTTAAAGGTCTCAAGTAGTTGTCAAAAGGATGGTCTTTAAGGTTCCATACAAGTTGGTGTGTCTACCTGAGTCATTTCTTTTTTCCTACAAAAGGCCAAACATGTCCCAACATCTTTTTCTACAATGTACAGGTATTGAAATTTGTATGTCTTTTCAAGAGTCCACTAACTCTTCTATTCTGTGTGTTCTAGAACTGTTTCAAAATGTTTTCTGCGTAGACAAATTCTAACCTTTATAAAACCATGTTGAAAAAGTGGATCAAAGATAGTAAAATGTCATGATCCAGTTGAAATCTACACTTTGATAATGACAATGTGTTACTTGAGTAGGAATGTTGTATTAAGTAACTGATTAAGTAACTCTAAATAAACTGAGCCATATCTTCTATACATCTGTATTGACTAAGCAAAAGACTTGATGTCATTTAAATGCTGTTGTTCAAAGTTTGAAGAGAAGTGGTGAGCCACAGCAACTACAAATTGGTTGCTAGCTGCAGGTGGTACATTTGTATGTGACCTTTCAGTTACAGTTGTTGAATCACAAGGTTTTGGGTTCGAATCCCACCAATTTCCCAATTTTTATTGGCCTTCAGCTAGGAACATCCTCTGGGATTGGGATCGCAAAGAGGAGGTCCCATGTTTGAGGATAGCTACACCTCGTGCATCTTATACATAACAATCATACTTATCAACAAGGGTTCCGAGCAGCAAACTATATACTCTTTTACTGGACCAACTCCCCTGGCATGTTACATGTCCTCTGTCTATTTGGCCAATTTCTACTCTTTCCAGCCGCTTCTGAAGCCTGGTAGAGGCTAATACATGAGTCCATCCCAGTGTGAATGGGTGAAACTGAACATACAAAACTGTTGTGATATGCATATGCCAGCATGCAACCAAACAGATATGTATGTAGTAAAAAAAAGGTGGATTCTAAAACAAGGATTGGATTGAGAAGTACATTACTATTGACATTGAGATATTCCAGCTACCCTGCCCCCCCCCCTACTTATTTCTATAATACCCCCTTTTCCCCCTAGATCACAAAAAAGTCCTGATATTGCACAGTAGTGTCACGTCACTCTTCTTTATGCTTGACGTTTTCAACAGTTTCTGGCGTTCCTGTTTCGAGATCGTCCTCTCCTTTCGTTCGGTCCGTTTCCGCGGAACATCCCAGCGGTTCCCCGAATCGTATCTTCTGCCCCGGTTTGACCTTGAAGGAGAATGTCCTTGGGGCCTCGAAGATTATGACAATGGAGGATCCGAGGTTGAACTCTCCAAAGATTTCGCCTTTCTTCACGGCCACTCCTGCTCCCTGGGTTTCGTTGAAGAAAACCCGGTCGTAGAAAAGACCACCTTTCCACTTCCCCGGCAAGTTGGTGTGCAACTCCTGAAAATAAACCGACGGAAACATTTCAAGTCAGTAAAAACTGTATGCAGTTTGTGATGATATTATGTTTCCCAACTGTTACTACATGGATATAACATCTTCTAAGTTAACCATAATTCTGCTAGGTCACATATATCTGCCAACTGAAGAAAATGTGTCTAAAGAGATCTCCAATGCATCATCCCACAGTAAAATGCACTCCTACATATCTACACTGTGCATACCTGAGGATGTTGCACTAGCTATAGATCTCTCAAACATACTGTTTTTAAAAGTGGTGGATATATGTGACCCAGCAAATGATGCAGGTTTGGTAAAGGTGGGGTGTTATAAATGTAGTATTCAAGTATGCATGGTATTGAAAGGCAGAACCCATCCCTTCATCCCTTTCCTTCCACTGCCTTTCACCTCCCCAACCAAAGTCAGGGTGGAGTGATGAAAGTCATGTAACATGCCTTTCCCAGGGACACAACATCTTGCCAGGAATGCTACAAATCGAACCTGTGATCTCTCAATCTCAATATATTGATTAAACTCAAACTCACACTGTCAATATATACATTCTGATAGATCTCACACGCTCGTTATAATTAACTAACATTAATTATCTATACTCACACTGTCCATGTACATCCTGATAGAACCCACGTTGGTCGCCCCAACAGCTGACATAGAGAAGAACCCCTGGTCCCATCGTCCTGACATCACAACTTGCTCGTTATAATTAATTAACAAAGATTAATTAATTAATTATCCGTACTCACACTGTCCATGTACATCCTGATAGACCCCACGTTGGTCGCCCCAACAGCTGACATAGAGAAGAACCCCTGGTCCCATCGTCCTGACATCACCACTCGCTCGTTATAATTAAACAGGCCCTGGATACACCTGACAAGTCCTGGGTTCACCGAGAAAAGCTCACCTGTAGGGATAAAGAACAACAACAGTCATTTCTCAACAAGCCAATCAGAGATGGCAGACAGTATTCTGAATGCTTGGGATGGAAAAAAATGATAAAGCAAGGAAAGTCTTCAGAGACCGATAGTTGCTAACAACAACAAAAGCTTGTCGTTAGTACAGGTTTGACTGTACTTAGAATTTTTCAGTTGCTGAGTTTGTATTTTCAAGGACTCCAGAAAGGGCAGTGACATACTGTATCACTAATGGAGATCTAGCTGTATCTGTGTCTGTATAGCCGGTAGATCCCTCGCTGCCCTTAAGTGTAACACACCAGCTTCGCAGGCACACAGTGTGGTGGCAGCTGGCTATATCACACCGAACGACTTGTTAGTAAATGTTAGACGTTGACCTAGCCTTTGCACATCGAACTACAAGCCATCTAGTGATGATGCCCCAATCTAAACACAAACAAACAACTGACCAGGAAAATGCCTCCTGTGCAGAACCTCCCATTCTGCGGGAGAGTGGAACCTGTGGTAGTCCCCGGGTGCCAGGTACACCGTACAATGGTACAGTTCATTCTCTGAACAACCTGTTACACCCAACCTTAACACATCTAACTGCAAGCATTGTTTGAAGCTATCTAGTGATGATGCTCCTGTCAATCTACACAAAACAAACTAACAAACTTTCCTGAAAGATCATCTCTGTTGGTAGTTAGATGATTGTTTAATGTTAAAACTTTTGATTGTTCTCACCTAGATCTTTTGACCAGTCACTCTGGTCTTCCTCAGTAGACTGACCCTGTGTGACTTGTCATGTGGCTAGGTAAGCAAGGTGAGAACCATTCTTTGTGTTGGATCAACTGTTACAGTTTTAACTTTGAAAAAAAAAAACTGACCAGGAAAATGTCTCCTGTGCAGAACCTCCCACTCCGCGGGAGAGTGGAACCTGTGATAGTCCCCGGGTGCCAGGTACACCGTACAATGGTACAGTTCATTCTCCTCCGGGTTCTCTAGCAACATCTGCTGATAGTTCTCATCGTCCTGAGGTTTGCTGTTGTTCGTAGCCTGCTTGGACAGCCACCAGTTGTTGTTGGTCCGTCCCAGGAATGTCTGGAGGGAGTAGGTCACCCCCTTCACCTGCTCCAACATGTTGTGTTCCACCTTGCCGAAGTGCAGGACCGTACCATCTGCTGGGCTCACCTAGGGGGGTTGGGAAGAAGTTCATACTCAACAGTTTCCAGCAAAAGACAGCCAAATGTTACTAGCGATAGACGAATTGTCATCTTCAAGCATGTACAAGTGTATATATACCTTCAGAAATGGACAGTGAGAAGTGGCCTAGGAAGATCGCCACACTGGACGTGGAAGGCCAAAACCCACAGGGTCGTCCAAGGAAGAGATGGATTGCCAACGTAAGGGAGGACTTTCACCACCTTAACCTACATAACGTTAACCCACAGTATAGAGACAGATGGCGGGCTGCCATCAAGCCTCAGCATCATAGTGCAAGCATGTCTAAGCTTTAACTGTCAGGAGACAGGGAACAACTAACGTTAAACCGGATTGTGAGTGAGAGAGGATACATGTACATGTACATTCATGTTATGTGTAATGTATGTTTTCCCACTGTAAAGCAGTGCAAGCAAGATGGGCCATCCTGGGTAAATAAAACAGAATACAAATAAACAAACAAACAAAGAACAGTCGCACATGTACAGTACCCACCAGACTGTGTTCCTGGTCGATGGTTCGTACGGAGGGCTTGAGCTGCCGTCGGAAGAACTCGTTCAGATTGCTGTAGTGGGTCAGGTCCTCGATGGCCGCCTCTTGGAGGTTACAGTCAAACAGCCAGATGTATAACCTATAGGCAGACAAAATATCATCAGTAAACAAAGACAGCATACAAAGACCTAACCAAATACAAATAACTACAGCATACAATGTATGAGATAATGTATATAGTAGTGTGGATACATTCCTCAAGCTAACCAACATCTTGCACACACAGTCGTCCCTCAGTAAAACATCTGGAGCCGTACAGTTCCCTTTTAGAACTTTTATTTAGCCTGTCACACGAATAAATGTATGGAAGATAGAAACCAGGCTACTGGTGAGACCCATCTCATATTAACCAAATGGTGATTTACATCATCACCCTGACGGAGACCACGCTATTCATTGTCTTGTGTATCAGGCAATGAAAAGGTATGTCACTAGTCGACCACCTACCTACATGTACTGTACATGTATCTACCTACATGTACCTCTATGCCACCTTATAATTACCTGAAGAGCACCCTCTGACCCTCATACTTTGTGGACATTCACAACTATCACGTCATATCATATCATAATATCTCCTGAGTCCTGACTGAATGTATAATATATAGAAGATTATCATTAAGAATTACCTGAAGAGCTGACCTGTCATCCAGGCATACTATACTATATCATATTTGATTTATAATATTTCCTGATTGTGTAATGTTATATAGCAGAAGACTTACCTGAAGAGCGGACCTCTCATCCAGACGGGGAGCTGGGCCTTGTGGATGTGACCCCACAGCCGGGACAACAGTCGCAGGGGGAGCTTCCTGTAGATTTGCACCTAAAACAACAATAACAACATCATTATCATCTTTGATTGTCAGTGTCTTCCAGTTTTTTGTTAGTCGCTGTCCTTCGTGTATGTGCCCCCTCTTATCCATCTCTAGAAGGTCCTGCTCAATAACACGGCCACAGGGGGACCTTTCTGTAGATTTGCACCTGGAACAAAAAAAAAACAATTAAGGCAATAAGAGATGGCAAACTTCACCCCATCTTACTCATACTGTTTTGCACCTGGGAGCTCAGCTCCCTGTATATTTGCACCTGCAACAGCAACAGTAACAAGGCAATCAAAGATGGCAGACTTCACACCCTCTCACCTAAAGTGTTCTGCCCCAGACTGCCGGAGCTGAGACAAAATGCCAACCCTGAAATTTTGTCCACTTTGCAAGGAAAATTACTACCAACTTGGAACACTATAGACAACAGCAAAATGTCAGGTAAAACTGTATTAAGCTTTAGCGTGGTTTAATACCAGACCTATTTTAGCTCCCAAGTCTTTATCCTCTCAAAGACTCAAGAGCCAAAATAGGTCTGGTAACCAGGCTATAGCTAATTAAGCTTTGCACAGTGAGTTAAAACATGGCTGCTGCAGATACATGTAAATGATGATCATCAGTTGGCAACAGGTCTGGTATAATGTAGACACCTCTCATAATCAGTCCCACCCACACAGTTATACATCATATTAACAGCCTCTTTGGAAAACTACAGGTATTGCACTTAGTGTAACATCTACTTCACACCTTTGACGTCTTAATGGGTTTTGTTCCTTGGTTCTTGCAAGGAGCTTAAGCTGGTTGGTTCTTGGGAAGTGGCTGAAGAAAGAATAGCATACAAATGTAACAGTGGGGGATTTATAGGCACTACCAACTGATCCTCTGAGGGGTCTATACCTTTTAGCCAAATCGTTAGAGCGGCGGCATGTGGATTGGTGCCCGGGTTTGGTTGTGGGTTTGAATTAAGTGAGTTAATTTCAAATGCTTGGTAGTACAATGTACACAAATCTCAGCTTTGGACTAAAATCTTTACCATCACCAACCTCTGGAAAAAACAGAAGAAAAACCTCTAAAAGTTAGTAAACTACAAAATTAAGCTACATTTATTTTGAGTTAAGTGAGTCAATCTCACATGGTTGGCAGAAAATATACAAAATCTCAGCTTTGAACTGAAATTATCACAATCTACGTCGATGAAGGTTAGACATCCGGGTAATAAGATACGCCAAAAAACAGTTTCTCAAGCAACTGTATATGATTTTGGAAAATCACCATCTACCTCAGTCTGTAAGAAAGGAAACCCTCTTTGTTCAATAATAATGTAAAAACAATACCATGTGACAGAACACTGACACCTGCTCCATTATCCACCACAGATCAATACCGATCAATAACTGATCAATAACTGATGAGTGTAACACAATACACACCTGGATCACTTCGGTCTCATATAGATTGTTATCTAGACTAAAGTACAATAAAAAACTGAAAGCTATAAAGAAACAAAAAGCAACTAGAAAGGTAACATTTGCAAGGCAAATGGCCACCATAATGTTTACCTTTGCATATGGTCTGCTCTGTTAATTCTTACTCAAGCACATTCACATATATGATGACAGGAGTCTAAATCCCTCCTACTATAAAATTGCAACATGATGTAACCCAACACCAGTTACCATGGTGACAGACATCTGGTTAAGGTTTAATATATTGACCTTATTTGTTTAGACAAGAGGAGGAAGAAGAAACAGAGCAAAAACGAAGGTTCTGCGAAGGTTAACATAAAAAACAGTCATTTTCATTTCTCAAAATTCATTTTTCAACGACTGTGCTATAATGATGGTGCACACACAGTTTATTTTGCCATGCCTACCTTTAAATCCGTCTATGTCACCAGTGCCAAGATTTTGTCAAGAATTATACCTGCATGAGAGTATCACTCTCAATCGAGTGGCAATTAAATTCACACCAGTCGATGGAACTTGTCAATACTTGAAGCTGAACTAGCCGTAACCTCTGCAAATTCTCCTCCAATAACAGACTTTCTCTATAAATTACATGTACATTTACCGGTAATAATGTACAGTTAATTACAAACATGCCCCAGGCATATTTCATATCTTTAATAAACAAGAATTAAGGCTTCAACACGAAGGGATTTTCTGTGCCTTTCAACATTTAGACCTGAACATAATGATATTCCTCACTCCAGACCCAATGAATAAAATATTTTCAAAGTGCTCTCAAATCTCGATGAATCATTTTCCCCAGACACACGTTCAAACGTGCATTTTGTCCTACAAGCATAGATAAGGCTACATTTACATGACCTTTCAGTTGAGTATCAACACATTATCTGTATTACAATGTAATGTATTGCTAATACACGTGACACCCTTTTTCTCTCAATCTAAAATGTCTAAATCAGGGTATAATTTCATCTATTTTCAAATTCGCAGTACAGCAGAAATTACTGAACCAGAAATATATCTTTGTTAAAAGGAAACATTGTGGTATACCAGAGAGACCAACCCAAGTTATATGATTGCAATTGTCAGATTTGATGCACTATAATACACAATTGTCACCCTTTTCTCTCAATCTAAAATGTCTAAATCAGGGTATAATTTCATCTACTTTGAAATTTGCAGTTTACCAAAAATTACTGAACCAGACAAATATCTGAGAGAGGAGTTAACATTGTCTACATGTAACTGAGACATCAACCCACATTACTAGTATATGATTGCAATTTTCAGATTCAATGCACTATAATACACGTGACACCCTTTTTCTCTCAATCTAAAATGTCAAAATCTGGGTGTAATTTCATCTATTTTCAAATTCGCAGTATAGCAGAAATTACTGAACCAGAAATACCTGTGAATATTTGTAAGAGGAGTTAACATTATTGTCTACCTGAGAAATCAACCCATATTATATCATTGCAATTGTCAAATTCAGTGCACTATAATACACGTGACACCCTTTTCTCTCAATCTAAAATGTCTAAATCAGGGTATAATTTCATCTATTTTGAAATTCGCAGTATACCAGAAATTACTGAACCAGAAAAATATTTGAGAGAGGAGTTAACATTGTCTTCATGTAGCTGAGACACCCACATTATATGATTGCAATTTTCAGATTCAGATGCATGTGACACCCTTTTTCTCTCAATCTAAAATGTCAAAATCTGGGTGTAATTTCATCTATTTTCAAATTCGCAGTATAGCAGAAATAACTGAACCAGAAATACCTGTGAATATTTTGTGAGAGGAGTAACCATTGTCTACCTGAGACACTAACCCACATTATATGATTGCAATTTTCAGATTTAGTGCTCTATAATACACGTGACACCCTTTTTCTCTCAATCTAAAATGTCAAAATCTGGGTATAATTTCATCTATTTTGAAATTCGCAGTACAGCAGATATTACTGAACCAGAAATATAGCTTTGTTAAAAGGAAACATTGTGGTATACCAGAGAGACCAACCCACGTTATATGATTGCAATTTTCAGATTCAGTGCACTATAATACACGTGACACCCTTTTTCTCTCAATCTAAAATGTCTAAATCAGGGTATAATTTCATCTATTTTGATTTGAAATTCGCAGTATAGCAGAAATTACTAAACCAAATATACCTGTAAATATTTGAGAGGTGTTTATTACATTGTCTACCAACCCACATTATATGATTGCAATTTTCAGATTCAGTGCACTATAATATAATACAACAATAGCAGACATTTTGAATGGTGTCAGCAGTTTGGAATATGCATGAATAATAACTTAATACTACGCCTCGACGCAGACAGCCACAAAATGAGCAAAAACGGTGCATAAAACACGCATCAATTATGTCAACATTTCCTGATGAAACGTACTATTGATGATACATGTTTATAATATAACACAAGCAGGTAAAGGTTTGGGATTTAGGTCACAGGATCGGGAGGCAGGTTACATGTAGAAAAGCACCCACCCGTAGTCTTCCCAGTGCAAGGGGCCATGTAACAAACATAACTCGTGGCTCCTCCCAGGTCACAAGCAAAATCTCCCCGCGCCGCGGTCCCTTCGAGTTCTCGTTCCGCACCGGCGTTCCATCGTTAGCTAACGATCATTCCGCTCTTCCGTCGAACGACATCACCATCGGAGGCCGGGTACCGGCAGGACGGACACTTCCATTATGGAAAACCGGGACGTACCAAAGGAGGCAGACACGGGGGTGGCAAGAGCAAAAAGCATCTACGCTCTTCATTATGCGTATATCTAACGTTCTCACAATTTGCATCAGAGCTTTAAAATTAGGGCCAATAATGCATTTCTTGTTCATATAAGTTGTGATGCAGCAATATTTCTGTAGATGGATTGATATGAACAAAACTGAACATCCCTGGAAATTTCCACATCAGTTGCACTCTTCCATATTCCCACCATTCCAAGCACTCAAGGGACCCTCTTCAATTTCTCCAATGCTACAATTATATCCATCATATACATGCCAATGTGACCACAGGTCAAGGGAGGGGGGGGATATTTGGAACGAATTGTCTGCTTTTGTACTGTGTGACCGAAAACCTCAGGCCCTTTGTTTATTGTGCTGGAACAATGGATGATATTTTTATGTAGGAAATGTTCACTTTAGAAGCAGTGTACAGTAGACCGATCCCAGCCGGCTTAAACTGGCAGTCATGAGTGAATGAGAGAGCTGTACATATGTGAGTGGATGCATGTCCAGCAATTTCTTTTTGTTTGTTTTAAAATTCAATAGATTATTGATGAAGGTGCACCATAGGATCTTTTTTACCAATTTTCTAGATGCTTTAGTCTCAACATACAATTAATGCATGAATAACAAAAATTATGCTAAATCCTACTGAAAATAATGCTGCTAATCGACATGGCATTTTCTAAGCAATAAATGCAAAAGCTAAAAGCGAAAAGAATGCTGTAAATGCCTGCTGCTGATAATGGTAGTAATGACTATGGAAAGTGTAAAATTGTACCTATGGGAATTCTCAATGAGAGGACTCAGAACAACTGCACTTTTATGGCTTCTATACTGCTCTTCCTGGTAATGTCAATTTTGAATTTACCATATGATAATGAAATATAATTTAATTTTGCCTCTATTTGTATTAGTTATTAAATATATTAGATAAATACGTGTATAATGATAAACAAGTAAGAATTGACCCTGGACAACACTTTGATGTAACAAGGACAAATATGAGAATTGAGTGACAAGCTATTGTTTCACAGCTAAGAAAAGTCAACAAGGATTTTGGAACTGTAAACATAACACAAAACAGAAGCAGACTTGATCCAACTTGTAAATGGCAACAAATAACTCAATATTTTGTGGTGAATAAGTTTCATATTATAAAGGAAGAAATTTGATTTATTTCATAGCAGTATAATTCCATAGTATATACAGAAATATACAGTACAGTGGTATAAACGTTGATACATATAGATCAACCAAGGTTGTGATTTTAATATATAAACCTCTATCGATCAACATATCCCGGGAATTACTACTAAAGTTTATCAAAAGATATTTGAAAACACATATTAGTTGTACCTTCTTGAACTGCTTTCTTCCCTTCCCACCATTTCTTCTCTTCCTGGTCGCTCGCAGTGCGCCAAACTCCCCCAGCCTGAGAAGGCCAGGCTTCAGGACCAGTTCATTCCCCACCACGGCAGTTCTCATGATCAACCTCCCTGCCCTGCCTGTCTTACCCAGCAGTCGGCAACTCAGGGACCGCGTCTTACCGAGGTACCGACCAAGGACACTCGGCATTTTCTTAAGAAAACCAAACTTTGAGGAACTGGAAAAACTAAAAGCAGGGTGGCTCTGGCCTCTAGCTCTAAACACAAAAGATTGCCTCAGCCAGGTTCTGAAAACCTCAGTCACTGCACTGTCCACTTCCTGTCCCTGAGTCAGCTGGCACTTTCTTACGAAAAGCAAATTCAAAGGAACTAAAAACTACTAGTAAAAGCAGTACGGCTCTGGCCTCTAGGTCTCAACACAAACTGACAAAAATGTCTGGTTCTGAAAATCTCTGTAAAAAGTCACTGCAAAGTCCACTTCCTGTCCCTGAGTCAGCTGACATATATAAAGTAAACTTTCAGGAACTAAAAACTAAAAGCAGAGTGGCTCTGGCCTCTAGGTCTAAACACGAAAGAATGCCCCAGGTTCTGAAAATTTCAGTTACTGAAGAAAGTCAACTTCCTGTCCTTGAGTCAGCTGGCACTGCCTTAACAAGACAAACTTTCACACTCACAGCTTCAGAAACCTCTGGCCTCTAGCCTCTAGGTCTAAACATGAAAGAAATGCCCAAGCTTCTAAAAATCTCAGTCACTGCAGAAAGTGACTGAGGTCTACTTCCTGTCCCTGAGTCAGCTGACTGCAGTTGTGCATGATGTAACATCTGACTGTGTTTACTTTAATTGGTGGGGAAGTCTAGCGGTACTGGTAAACACGATGATGTCATCACACGGTGAATCACACAGTTAGCCAGAAATGGCACCTGGTTCTATTCTTGGAAGCAGGACTGTAACAGTTACTGGGGAGGAGCTCTTCTAGTTAGGCAAATATGCAGGTAAGAGTATAATAAGTTATACTTCGTATATTATACTTGTGTGGAGAAGTATATGAATCAAGATATCGTAATGTTGATCTAACTAAAGACATGAACAGCTGCAGTTCCAAGGAATGTCACTAGGGGGTTCAAATATCTGTCATTTTCTTCTTGGGCAAAGACCTGCCTTAGTATACACACAAAAAATCACAACAATCCATTCATAATAATATATCATAACTTCTATTAAACAGAGAGTACCAAATACACCTTGGTTCTTCCAATGCACAACTGATACCATGCAAACTGTGACCATCAATTGCGACTTACAGTACAGCCTAGTCGAGTAGATTGAGAAGCAGTCAGAAGCACTGAGGAAGACACCAAAACGTAAGCAAGGTAAGAGACAATACTGGTTGTGTAAAGGAATTTAATCCCTATATCCTATACTAGTACTATAACCACCTGATCACTTTTCTAACTAATATTAACACAATACCTGATGATAGGTGAGAAAATAAAACTTACAGTCCAGTCCGGCAGCAGTAGATCTGTAGGGTCCTGTACAGCTGCCACCTTCCTGTCCTCCCTCCTCCTGATGTGTCCGTACTGTTGGTAGGAGATGTAGGCAAACCCCACAGCTAGGGGGATAGGGTACCACTTCAGCGACCTCAGGTAACCCCGGAAACCCTGCTTGGATTTGGACTCTGAACCTGACTGTTGGCTGCCATTCCTGGAGCCTCTCCATCCTGAATATATATTTTACATATAATATGTAATAAATATAATACACAGGAAATATGTATGTGGGTAATATATATGACTGAACAGTCCTATAGGAGAATGACAGTCTTTGCCACATAGGGCACTTCCACAGCACCAGTTACCATGGTGACAGACATCTGGTCGAGGTCATTGACCTTAAATGTATTGAGAAGGAAGAGACCAAAAACAATCTGTTTTCCCTTTGCGAAGGTGAATATAATAAGTGACATGCATCGATATTCTTTCATACATACTAGTAAGATGTAAGACTCATGTAATAAGAGTAGTTTATTATTATAATTGATTAGATAGCTCATAAATAAATAATTCACTTACCTGACTCATGGAAATGTCTGGACTGGAACGTAGCTGGAACATTTTTCTGGAAACAGACCTGTGACCTCTGACCGTACAACCAATACCTGCACTCCACTTGGCTGGATAGCCTACAGCTTTGTCTGTAGTTCCTGTGTACAAACCTGTAAATTATAAAGGTTTCAATGACTTTACTTGCAAAATCATGCCCGAAAGCTAATTGCTTTTACAGTCAAAGATACTATTCGGTACAATACAATAGTAGGAGACATTTAACTACTGTTAACTACTGTCTTAAAAACTTCTACTGCTACGCTAGCTATTATAACTTAAGGTTTGACTTCTTCAAAATTATAAAAGACACGTGAAAAATTTGAACTTCAGACGACACTAGAACTTGAAGAAGAATTCAGAAGCAATGAACGCGTTTTTCTACCTACATTTGGCAAATACCGTAAGAATAAGACATTAATTACATTATCAGTTGCTATTGACAAGGTAAATACAACGATTTATAGACTAAACAGTCATAAATTCCATAAGTTTCTAGTCATACCTCAAAATGTGTCTGGAGGCCGCCATCTTGAATCAGAAGCGAGGTCATGACCCCTAGTCCTGAAAAACCAGCTGTGATTGGCTGTCGGCCATGACTCTCGACCAATCAGAAGCATTCGTAGAAACGCGCCAAATACGACATTCGAAATCTTCGAGCAGACGATGGTGAAGAGATTCGGCCGATGCATGTTCTTGACTCCAACAGAAAATACAACCGAAAGATGGCAAGTGCTGGCGAACAACGATATGTTTTTATAGACGTAACGTTAGTAGGGCTGTGTCTTGCAGCTATATTTTGTCAGACTGAGGAGTTTTTTGTTGTGTGATGTTGTGAGGTTGTGTTGTGAGGACACCGTTGACGAAGAACAGTTACTGCAGATTTTTATACACCAATAGGGGGTACCAAAACACAAGACACAGCATGTATTGCATTTTCACGACAATCGATATAGACACAACGATATCGTTATACACATGGTCAGTTACCTTTTGCAGTCATCATTCTACCTTCTGTTGAAAATGACTTACTAGTACATTGTGTTAGAATTACATGCTATATATAGAGCAATAAATAGTATAAGAAGGGATGCAGTTACAAAATTTTACATCATCTGTGTGGATTATGGGCGTTGTGGCTAATATATGATATCAGCCTTGGCCTTAAGTGCGTTAAAATGCATATTCTAAAGAATGAAATCAATTTACTTTATTTCACATGCAAATTTGGGAGATGAGTCCAAAGTGGTAAATGATAGGCTACGGACTCAAAGAGTTGAGTAGGTTCCATTTTTCACAGCATGCAAACTTGTAATCATGATATATTCCTCCCATTCGAAGCCCCACATTTCGCTTTTACAGCAGCTACTAGTATCAAGCAAAAAAAACAGTTACTCAAGCAACTGGATATGATTTTAGAAACGGTCAGACGTTTCATGCAGCATTCACTACCTTTCGTCAGTGACACTGGAGAATTCTCAGAAAAGCAGGTTTAAAGCACGAATTATTGAAACGTCTGATCGTTTCCAAAAGCATATCCACTTGCCTGAGTAACCGTTGTTTTTTTCCGTATCTTAAGTTATTACCTGGATGTCTAACCTTCACTGACGTACTAATATCACGGTTTGCCTCAGGTGAGTTTTAAGAGATTACAGTCTGCTATTCTCTGTCACGCACAAGTGAGCAACCACCTTGCTGTCGCGTTCTGACTTTTAATCCCCTGTCACACATTCACGACCTTCGAATCCCAAGAATTCGCTCACGAACGCCAGCCTACCAGGTTCGGCTGACGATCGGTAGATATCCTACCAGATTTAGGCCTTGTCTACCTTTCTATACGAATCGAAACGAATCTGAGTTAAATTTGAGTCAAATTTGACCCCCAAACACGCCCCGAACACTGTTGACTTACAGCCGACCTTGCTGCCGACCCTGTCCTAACCATGGGGTGGGGGTCCAGTTTTTGGGAGGCCATACTAGTATTCTGCTGTGTAACAGACAGGGCTTACATGAATTCTTTAAGTCAATGAGGGTTAATCCTGTTAAAGGGGCCATCCTATATTGACGCCACGTACATACGCTTATGTTAGATGTAGTTAAAACTAGTAAAAGAATAGTATGTTCCGCTAAAATTCAACTTTCTGCTATCAGAGATAATTATAGGTGTGTTGCTGTGATATGTGATTTATTTGACAGTCTGTGACCCAAGGGTAAACGAGACATTGCCCTCATGATGAGATGCACAAAAGACACAGAAGCTTTGAAACGAGCCACCTTCACATGTCCCCTCTCGAAGGATCTTTGTTCCAAGGTCAATTCGCTACTGACCTGACCACAACAGAACCTATACATCTCTGACACGTGCTGAATACACTGTTTATATCGCACTGCGACGAACCAGGCTCTAAATTGCACGCAAAATTCGACTTTTAAACACGCTCCAGTGATAATGGTTGTTCCTCTACCACTTATATGCTGTGAAACTGTTTTGCAAAATGGACCATAATTTGTGGAAAAGGCATTCCTCTAGGCGTGGCCGGACGGAGTGACAATCGAAGGGCGTGCGCATTTGCCCGGGTAATGTCCCTGGGCTTCTTGTGACGCCCTTTTGTTGACGAACCCTTAACACTTAAGCCAAGATTTCACGCCACAGAAAAGACGACACAAATATATTCATAGCGAGAACGGTTAGGAAGTCTGTGTCACTGGAATTTCCTTTAACTTATGATCTTTACCTCCTTGTTGTTTCGCATTCTATTATTAAGTTGGACGGAACTTTTGTTTGTATTGACACACGCCTACCATATGTTTAACAATAGCTCCCCTGGGTGTAACGGAACAGGGAATATTAGAGATGAAAACGATATTAATTATTCAACACCCGTTTTATCCCCCTGCGCCATAGCTAGCGCTAGCGACGAATTGTCAGTACGGGACACAGACTCAGGCACGAGTACTTATTTTTTTCTGCATAGCCGAGGTACAGGTGGGTTGTTTTTCTAGTTTTTATCTGGTACAACATTTAAGGGTGTATTTGTGTTGTTATGCATGTGTTAAGGTCGCCCGGCGTTCGCCACCGGTTGCATAGAAAGAGAAGGCTTTTAGTTTTAGAGACTGTGTGTGCAGCGCCCGCTCTCTAAACACAATGGCGGCCCTTTCATACAATTGAGCTCGGACCGGTTCTTCGACATTCTCTCCCCAGAGTCTATTCAGAGCCGCCTCCGGGCTCGTATTATTGTCGTATTACTGAGCAAGTTCTCTGTGATATCGTCTGACTACAGGGTGTGCGCAGTGGTCATGCCAGCGGCCAGTGTGTTCGGCAGATCACAGAAAATGGCGCTCACGGAGGACAAGACGAAGGTGAGCTTCCTGGGCCGGCTCCCGATGCAGGGCAGCCGGCAGGAGGACACCTGGCGACCCGTGGACGCTCTGGTCAACCGCGGGAAGAAGAACATGGTCAAGAACATGAAGATGAAGGTGTCCAACTACGGGATCAATCGCACCTACAAGTGGGGGCTCGGCAGCAAGAAGTCCAACTTCATTCCGCTCGACCGCGTGGTGTACGGCGGCGTGGACGATCACCACGAGAGGGTCTTCACGCTGATCGTGCGCGGCGACCAGCAGAACGAGTGCCATGCCTACCTGTGCGACTCGCCCGCGGACGCCGAGCACCTCACCATGCGGCTGGACGACGCTTTTAGACAGGCGTACGGCCACTTCGAGGAGGAAGAGGTGGTGCAACAGCAGCCGCCACGCGACAACAACATCATCATGGCGGCGCCTGGCAGCATGGCGGCGCACCCACCGAACGGGAATGACATCGAGATGCGGGAAACGACGCATGTAAACGGCAGGCGCCGCCGAGGCTCGGCTTCCTCGTCCACTAGCAGGAGCAGCAGCGACCAGGGAGTGACCAGCACGCGGGTCGTCTACTCCAAGACCGTGTCCCCCACCTCGGACTACGGCACGGAGCGGTCCCGCGAGGTCTCCTCCACCCGAGACCACGTGGACATCCAGTACAACAGCTACCAGAACGGCCCCGTGGAGGTCCACCGCCAGGCCGACCGAGAGGTGTACGTGGACCCGGTCACCATACCGACCCCCGAGCCCGTACGCAGGGCGCAGACCATGTACGTGGAGCGCGCCGCCCCACCTCCTGAGGTTCGCAGGGAGACCATGTATATAGAGCGCGCGGCGCCGCCCGTCGACGACGTGGTAGAGAGGAGAGAAGTCCTCAGCCGCACGGTGTACAGGGAGCCTTCCATCTCCAACGACGTGTTCATGTCCAACGGCTTCGACCGCCAGAGCGTGCGCTCCGAGCCGCGCTACTACCGCAGCTACAGCTCGCAGAACCTGCACAGGGAGGTGTACAGCCAGCCGCTGGTCCGCCGCTCGTTCTACCGCTCCAGCCCTCAGGTCGTCCAGCTCAGCGACTACGAGAGGAAGTACTTCACGGAAGACGGGGACTTCGCCGTGCCTCTGGCAGGCTGGGACGACGAGCGGCCGCACTACCAGGGCCACACGTACAGCCGGGAGGTGGCGTCCCAGCCCAGGCAAAGTTACCGGGCGCCGGAGCCGCGTCGCGCCCCCGAGACCCAGTACTTCCGACGGGACCCCGGGTCGTTCCGGCAGGAGCCCGTCTACTACACACAGTTACGAGGCTCCAGCCGGGCTCCCAGCGTGGCCCGAAGCCGAGGTGGCTCCACCTACAGCCGCCCCAGGTCCATTTTCGGCAGGAGCAGCCGCAGTCTTGGCTCGAAAGGGATCGAGGGAGCCAGGCAACCCAGCTACTTGACCACCGTGCAGAGCAGATCCTTCTGGAATCAACAGGGGCCCAGCTACGGGGACTCTATGATGTACTGATTGTTAAAAAAAATAGGTACAAACAAAATTAGCCTCTACCAGGCTTCCTGATTCGGCTGGAAAGGGTAGAACTTGGTCAAACTAGACAGATAACATGCCAGTGGAGTTGTTCCGCAAAGAGAGAATATTTTGCAGTGTTCTATTAGCGGACCAACCCCCCTGGCACGTAATATGTCTATTAAGCCAATATCTACTCTTGCCAGCCACTTTCCGAAGCCTGGTAGAGGCTAGAAATAAATCAGAAGACACTCGCAGAGAAGTCGACACACAGACTGACAGATATAAGAACGAACGGACAGAAAGACCCAAGGTCAATGCTTCACCGTGAGGCAAGAAGAGGAGTGTGTCAGGGACACTTTCAAAGTGTTTGCGAACAATTTACATTAACGGACTGATACTGTATTATAGGTAGGTAAGGTACATTCATTTTATCTATTTTAACAACACTGAAGAAAAACTATTATCAATCAACAAAAGGCCGCCATTTTGAAATGATGCAAGCTTTGGGTATGCGAGGACACTGGTTGACATACAAGTTTGGCAAGGCTCTGGGATTACATGTAGGTCGCTTCAAAAGTTCGTAAAATCTTATCTCTCTCCGCTACTCTTAACTCTGTAACGTTTGACATCCTTACGAAACACGCAGTATTCAACGCCAGATGAATTGTGAATAGACTGACAACATTTTTCTATGATGACTCCTATAATACCTGTCAGAATACATGATATTGTCAATCTGATGGTTATGAATAATTAAGGTAGGCCCCCTTTATGTTCGACCTGACAGAGATTAAAAATGAGGGCATCGAGCAGGAGAAAATATTCAACCGCCTATTGCTAATGTAAACATGTACAAACTTATCGTTTCAAGTATATATATTACGAGTATATCTTTGCTGCTTTTACTATTATTGTTACAACATAGAGTATAGAGCTTGCAAGTTTAAAAAAAGATGCCCTTTTTTAGAAGAATATATATAATATATAATTTTAGTACCGCTACAGGGTTGCTATGATAAAAAGGGTACTATTTAGTCTTTTGTGATTTTCAGACGTGAATAGAATTTAGATTTCTTCACTTCAGTAACCTTTATTCGCATTGGGTTGTCTGTTCTGTTGTCTTTCTTGTTTGTTGTTTTCTGTCAAATGTGATAAGAAACATCATCTGCCATATAGCTTAAAGCATGCTTTGACGCGTTCTTGTCTTCAGTTCAAGATATGACTCTATTTGAAGTCAGTTCACGAGAATGTTGTCCTTACGACAGAAGTGCTTGGCTGACCCTCAAGTCAAGACAGAGTCGACTGGGGCTCGTTCCAGTATCTCAATGTGCTGATCCAAACGAAATTACTTCTATAGGACTGTCTGCAACCTTAACTATCGCGATATTACGTTTTGTGATTGGTCATTAATTATCCTGATGAAGACGACAGTGGTCGTTGAAAATTTGATCTCTGTTTAATCTATGTGTTGGAATAAAGTTCAAAATTTTACAGTGATTTCTACCAACACAGATTAACTTTCATGATAATTGTCATAACTAGTTTGGATGAAAAATTACCGACGAAAACATGACCCCCATATTCTGCTTATTGTTGGCAAAATAACCCCTTATATAACTTACACGCGACAAAATATTTCACAACGATAACATCATATCTGCTCGCAAAGGAGCTATGATATGGGATATCGCGGATCAAATGAGATATCTGCACAGTTATAGTGTAACGAAATACTTTGAATTACTTCTATCAGAAGGTAGATGATTTTTTTTTCTGTATGAAACAAATAGCCCGGGGCTAATATTTAAGACTGCAGCCAGCGGTATTACAGGTCACTAAGCTTTTCTGTATATGATAGATAATGTCGAGGTTACCAGTACTATGTATGCAAGTGTAGTCTAGTTTATTACGATTACAGACCCGATGGGTAATTGTAAAATACGTATATTGATGATGAAAATAATAACATTAAGTTGCTTTTATTTTATTCTCTTCTTTGCAGCAGGCCAAAGACTCACATAGACGAGAATTCAACACCAGTTCTTTTCTATGTGGGTCTTTAGTTCCTAAGGTATACTATGTACTAGTATTAAATTCTAAAATTTTGCTACCTTTTAAATCACATTGCAAGTTTTAACTTCTTCAGCCATTCTAGTATTTCGTATTGAGTATTTAGCTGGTATTTAATGTTGAGCACGTGCCCTGTGGAGGTCATGGCATGCCTGAGGTGTAAGCTGTTTTTATTGTAAAGAATGTCTGACACGCTGAGGCCCCGCGGGAAGGGTGGGTCTGACGTCACTAACTACGTCATTATCAGACGATTTTCTATTCTATTCACACAAGACATGGGGCTGGCGCAAGGGTTTGCTGTGAACATGCCTTATATGGCTTTTGCAGAAAAAGACAACAAATACTAAAATTAACAAATTAATAAACAGATAGTACGTAGTATTAGAGAGGGAAGGTCTAGAAATGAATTGGTGAAGGGTTGGTATAAAATCATATTTTGTATAATAATGTATAAATATGTATATTATAACGTATATATGGTGTATAATAAGACCAACTAATGTATGTATGCAATGACACCTACGAAAGGGTTGGAAACCAGAAGTGTTACTACTATGGGGCAGGAAGAAAGTAGATTATTACTTTTCTAAAAACGTTGCCTGTGGATTTGTTAATTATCGTTCTGTAGGGAAGGGCAGGTGGAATTTTGAGTATGTGTGGAAACGTGGGTGTAATAGAGGGGTGTGGTGGGTGAGGCTAGGGAAACAAAGGTTCAAAAGACGATACTTAGAGTACGATTTAAGGAGGAAGCAACTTTTAGTCGCTAATTTTAGAAATCACATACACAATATATACATCTGCATCGACTTAGAGACTTGATTTTTAGTTAGAACTCTAAGTTTCATCTTCACTACACTATCTTTTACAACACGTATCGTAGGAAATGTGTCAATTTCTGGCCCTTCCCGTCCCTCTTTTAGTCATTCATTGTTTCATTCATTCATTCATCCATCCATATATCCATTCGTTCGTTGGTTCGTTTGGCTTGTAAAAAGGCCACAATAAGCTACGGATTTTAGGAGAAAAACCGCTTCGACGAGTGTAAAATTGTGTCTATTCTGTTTATTTAGAGAAAGAATTACTCACAAAAAGAGAGCCGAGAATAGACACTATGGACAGGACTAGTTTGGGGTGTGGCGAGGTCGCCAGTAGTCCATTTCAGGGTCGTGACTCATGAATAGGCTCTTAGCTAAGCCTTAACCTGTCACCACGCCCAACCCATAGTTAGCCTCCATAGCATGCCAAAAACTAGGGGTTTGGGGGGTCTTCGGGGTCTTTTATGTGCTATTTTCTGATTGCATATAGACAACATAGCCGGCCTGGTTGAATTACCCCCGAACTGGGCTAATCAGAAAACAGCAGAAGACCACCAAACCCCAGCTCTATAAGCCTGCTACGGACGCTAGTCCTTGGTATCCTTTGGTTGTCTATAGGGTTTGTGCATGAATATTGTCTTGTGTTCAAAACATAATTTGTTAAGTTTGAAAATGTAACCTCACGGGAATTTTCGTCTTATAATGATACCAAAAACATGCTATTTGTATACTTGTAAATTTGTATAATTTCAGAGTACGCTTAAAGAATCCGCCCTTCGTTTTGAGGGTGTGTCCCTGTCTCGTGCATACTCGTTGGTAATTGACCATTGACGAAGATAATTACAGAGGAATGCATGAAGTAGAAAAAAGATATTGGCTTTTAAGGGAATATGTTACGTACGTGGTTATAGAGGGCAGATACTTGTACTTAAAGATATGACAGCACTGTATAAAAACAACCAACTAATTAATGCTCATGACTTTGGGGGTAATATCATTTTAATGACAGGTAAACCTTGACCAATATATACATCCGTAGCTTTGTTGATGTGAAACGTCGAAATTCTGAAGAGGTCGACTTGCTTTAAAGTGTCTAAGGATGTTTTACTGTACAGTTCTTGTTGAACGCTTAAAGCTGTTCAACCTTCTTTCCACTTGCTCAACAGAAGTTGTTACATTTCATTCTATAGATAAACTAAACTACATTCTAGAAGGAGATAACCCTTACTTTTAACACATAGGTACACAACTCGACCTTAATTTATTCCGACTTGTACGTGATTAATCCTTTTGTATCCACTTGTTTTTCCTGTTTAGTTATAGGTGTAACAAGTAGCTCGGTGTAATGTAGCCAGCTGCCGCCGCGCCGCGTGCCTGCAAAGCTGGTGTGTTACTCCAATGGGCGTTTATACCGGTTACAGAGACAGATACCTTACGAAAGTTGCTGCACTTTTGTTGTGTAAAGAACATATAGTATATCTAATCTCGACTGACAGCACAAAGGCTGTGCTGCGGCGGAGCGAGAGCGAACCCCATGACGCCATCCATGGGTGGAGCAGCAGCGCCTTCTGGCAGTTTGAAGCTGAAATGCTGCACCATGGAGACCAGAAACAGGAACGTCTCCGACTTCGCCAGCTGCTTGCCAGCGCAAGCCCGTCGCCCTAAAAGGAAAAAAGTCACGGATTATATGAAGCAGTAGTTTCAAAATTCACAACGAAAATCTACATGCTCCTTTGTCATTGCACTGCATGAATGTTTTCCAAAAATGCCACAGTTCCATCACATTAGAATTTTTTCTCACCTAGAGCTTCCGACCAGTCAGTGCCTGCTCTTCTTCAATAGACTGACCCAGTGAGACTTGTCACGTGGCTACTCTGAAGTGTCTGAAGTGTGACGTCGACACTGGGTCAGAGAAAACACGTGACAAGTCTCACTGGGTCAGTCTTCTGAAGAAGACCAGAGTGACTGGTGAAAAGCTCTAGGTGAGAACACCTTTTCTTGTGTTGAAACAACAGTAATCTCCAATCAGATGTGTCAGGGTGGCCGCAAGACAGTATCAAACTGGCCAGGCAGCAGCCAGACTGTATCCATTTGCTTAAGTCTGGCTGCTGGATACTGCCTGGCCAATTTCTCCTGCTTGGAACAACATTTAGTGGACGTACCCAGACTAAACGGCGCGTACGATGGCGGGTTGGGTAGAACCTTCCCGTTACTCCCGATGAACCGTGTGGGGTCGAACCGCTCCGGATCCGGCCAGTACGCGGGGTCCATGTGGAGGGACCATAGGTTAATGTACACCTGGGAGGGATGAAAAATATGACTTTGAGCAGCGCCCCGCTTTCAGTAAGATTAGAACCAGTGCCCACCCCTTGGAAATAGAAAAGGGCTGTGTATGAAACCACCTGTTTCAGAGAAGATGACAATGTGTAAACATTGCTCCTCATGCAGTATAAGACGAAAATCATTTCATTTCTATTTTTTTTCATTTTATGATGATATTCAGAAACCAATTCAGCAACATTTGAATATGATTCAGTAAAACTTTAAAACCGACACACAGTGACATCATAATCATATTTACGTTGTTTACAAGCGAGAAAAAAACACTATTTTGTTTTACAATATTAGACAGTTTCATATTTTGCATATATAACACAGACCTGCGTATTTTGCGGGATATCGTAGCCGTTCAGAGTGACATCAGTTCCCGTCATGTGCGGGGGACTGAGCGCTGCGGGAGAGCGCATCCGCAGGACCTCGTGTAGCACCGCGTCGGTGTACGGCAAGTCCGGGCGGTGCGCGAGGGACACAGGCGTCTCCCGACCAACTACCCGGTCGACTTCCTCCTGAACCTGCATTTATATTTACCGAAGGAACAATCAAACATATTATTTTTGCTCAGTTTCTTCCTCTTCTTCTTCCAAACAAATAAGAACCAGACGTCTGTCACCATGGTAACTGGTGTTGGGTTACATGTTGCAAGTGACATGCAGAACCGTTAGTTAGTTCAAGAGGGCTGCATGGTCACCATATATATGAATGTGTTTGAGTACAGTTTGACATTGTGTTTTACTCTCGTTTTATGTTTTTGAATAGAAGACGTACAGATACAGATACGGATACAGATACAGGCGTCATATGAGCAACTGTGCTTATTTTAATATGTGAGTAAAAAAGCAAAAAACCAACAAACCTTGCTCTGAACGTCCGGATGCGTCGCCAGAAACAGCAGCGCCCAGCGTAGCGTGCTCGCCGTCGTGTCCGTTCCCGCCACGAACAGGTCAAACATCAGCGCAACAAGGTGCTCCTCGCTGAACTTGTCCGCGAGGTCATTCGAGTTCAAGTCCATGCCCTGCCACATTTGGTGTAGATACGCGTCAATGACGTCTCTTCTCGTCTCTGGGTCGAAACTGTCTTTATGTTTCTTCACGATCTTCTTTAGAAATTCGTCGATTTGGTCGCAGTTGTCGATGACTTGGTTGCCGAGGTTGGACAGGAAAGGCACGAACCTAGGGCATGAAAATTTTTGTCACGAAATTTAATCTGTGTTGGTAGTAATCATAGTAAAATGTTGAACTTAAGTATTTTAACACAAGGATCATAGTACACAGAGATCAAAGTTTCAATGACCACTGTCTCCTTCATCAGGATAATTAATGTAATCTTAACTCTCGCGAAATTACGTTTTAAAAGGATTGGTCATTTCTAATTGGAGGTTCCTCAAACAAACTACCAAGTACAGTAGGGGCACCATCATTAGATAGCTTCAAACAATGTTTAGAGTTAAATGTTCAAGAGTTAGGTGTAACAAGTCGATTGGTGTAATGTAGCCAGCTGCCGCCGCGCCGCGTGCCTGCGAAGCTGGTGTGTTACGCAAAAGGGCGGTTATACCGGCTATACAGATACAGATACAGATACAGATACAAACAAACAAACCTGGCCCAGGGAAACATGTTGAAGATTTGGCCGACCATGGACAGGCGCAGCCCGCGGTCGAGCAGAGCCATCATCTGTCGGAAGTCTTCGTGTTCGTACGGAAACCGAGACCCGAACACTACCGAACAGATGACGTTAGAGGCGGCGCTGGCCAGGAGACCCGTGTCTGTGAAGGGGGTAGATCAAAATATCATGTCATAGACTCATACTGGGTCGTTTGTACACTCACTGTCCTTGAGTGCATCACCACTATATTCTGTTTAAATGTAAATTCACTGATTGATTTGATTTGATTTATTGAAATTGTAACAATACAATACACATGGGACACAGGCAGCTGTTGCTGGCGTTGTGTCATACTCATTTTCACTTGAGTTAAATGAGGAAAGTCGTGTAAAGTGCCTTTCCCAAGATCGGTGGCATGTCAGGACTCGAACCCGGGACCTCTTGGTTCCGAGTCGAGCACTCTGCCGTTACACCACACGACCCAATTTGAACGAAATTCAGAAATTAAAAAAAATCGTCTGACCTAGTGGACGCCCATCGTAACTCCCCAGCCAGTTACAGAGTTCCCGTGCCTCCTCCTGTATGCGGGTCTCCATGGACTGTTTCCCCAGACCGAACTCACGTAACGTGGTCGTCACGAACTTCCGGTTGGCCTTCCACGCCAAGTTGTATTGACCGAAGATCACTCCTGTGTGGTTACAATAGAACTTTTAATTAGGAACTTTGTTGACAAAACAAAAGTACAGCGGCTTTCGTAAGGTTTTAAACTACATGTAAACATACAGACAAACACGTGGGGTACAATAAAATTGACCTACGTACAAAACAATAGATCAATCAACATACTATTTGTTCTAAGGTCTAAACATTCTTTGATATATTTACCTATAGCTATTTGTACACAGCAAGGGATATTACCTATATATCTATATATCTATATATATATATATATATATATATATATATATATATAGTATAGTAC